TTTCACCAGAAAGTATCCGTCGTAATCCAACGCTCGTAACCCAAATATTGATCTTTAATTAATTGGAATAAATTCTAAATCTGATATACCACATCACATTCGAACACAACAATTTCAAGAATTACTAACACAAATGGATACAATACAACGACAATCAATCGACCAAAATTTAAGAAAACTTGCCGAAACCGCAGGATTTGCAGACATTTATACACAAGACTACAGCGAATATTTTAAGGAAATATAAGATAACATATATTTAAACGGTGAAAAATACAGACCACAAAATATTTCACCCATAAACGTTTTTAGTTTTGTAACACTAAAAAAATGAAATTCTCGCCTTTCTAGGATGGCCTTTTTACATCTTAAAAAGATTGACTATCTTATACGCTATGTTTAATTTTATAGGATTTCTTTTCTCACCGTTAAAAGGAATCTACAACACATGTGCTATACGCACACAAGTAAACCGCCAAGCAAGTGTAGCACGAATATTATTTGCAGGATTTTTTGGAATATTTTCATCATCAAAAAATAAAATATTTTAGATGCACAAATAAAAGAATATACTACTAACACCTCAACAATTTACATATGTTGGATTTTTAAAAACTCTAAAAACATTCGCTGCACCCCGAGCTAACGATTTCTCAATCGAATATTTACGATCACAACATCATACGCCCTAACCAAGCTCAATTTTTAGACGAAGACCGCTTTGCAAACCCGCAACTAACCGAAATTTTTTTTATTAAAACAGCATACCTTTTTACACTTATTATTCTTGATAAAACGCACGATCATATAATTTCCGAGGCACTAATTGACATACAAGCATATGAAAGCTTCTATGATAAATTTCAGTTATTTTCACTAACCTTTCACTTTCTTTCACCACAAGAACGCGATTGTACTGTTCTCACGATATAATGTCACGCACTAAACAAACACATACTTACACATACTATCGTTTTATACAAAACCATTTTGATTTACCTACAACATCACGACAACCCCACCATCGTTTTCAGTTTATTAACTCGAAATACACGTCACCCTTTTTTCTTAATTTTACATATTGCATTAAAAATACTAACCTACACGGCATCCTCCGCAACTACGACCCAATTACCCAAATGTAAATATTCTGTCCAATCACGAAGACCTTCAATGATGAAGAATCAAGACCCTTCATTATCCCGCATGAATTTATACAACCTACTGAAATCCCCATATAAGAGTTTATTCATAATACTAATTATAATCACAAAAATTTACAATCTAATCCAAAACACACCTCATGAATTCGCAGTATGCACCGAAGAACTTAACACCATCAACGCACTTCAGTTGCTTTGGCCACTGATGCAAACTAAAAATGTCATACGCATACTAGCCAAGTTATTAAAAACAACCGATTTGATTCACGAAATCTTCCGACATGGCTTTTTTCCCGATGACTAAGGCAAGTATAATTAAAATAAATTTACTAATAAATTCAAAATTGTAATAACCATTTTCTCTAATTGTTTAAATTACTCTTTTAGTCTTCTCACCACAATCATCTATAAAAACAGAAAAAAGAGAAATAAAAATACAAACTTGTTAAATTAGAATACAACTCAAGTAAAACTCTTTTGCTAAAACTTTTTTGCTAAAACTATTTTGCTATACTAAATTTTTTACTAAATATTGTAGTAAAACTCATACCCAATGTAGTGATTTTATATATAAATTATTTCCCCAAGAAGCAGTAAAATTATATAGGATGAAAATTTATAAATTTAAAATTTCCCAAAAAAGCAGTAAAATTCAAATTTCAAGCAATAAATTCGAAAAATGAGCGAGCAGTACTAACCTTTTCAATGTTTTCATTCATTTGCACAAGATTTCTATCCATACTCGTTTAGCTCGCCCACGAAGTTTTGTTTAAAATAATGATTTGATGTTTCAAGTTTTCACTAAAAATAACTCAAACAAGCGATAACAAGTTTCCAACTTTTCCTTAACTCGGTTGGAATGGAGTTATATATTAAACAAAACTAACCAATGCAGCTTACTAAATACCACAAATCATAAAAAAACAGCATGATTAAGAAAAGAAAACCAACGGTAGCCAAACCGGATTAACCCAGTTTAAAACTGGATAATTTATTCTTTTGAAGACTATTATAAAGTCTAAGAAAGGGAAAATAAAACACAAAAAAGTCGTAAGACAAACGCAAACCAAAATCAATTTGATTTTCGAAAAAAGGACACAACCAAAAGGAATATAAGAAAGACCAGAAAAAAACAACATAAAACTTTATCACAAAACAGGACCTCTCAAAGAAACAGCACGAAATCATACTCCCATTCCTGGCCTAATCCACCAGAGAAGGACGTCCTGAGCATGCTTTGGCCGGTCTAACCCACCGCGCTACACCCACGCTTTGTGACCATACTTCAATTTTTAATAAGAGGTACTCAAGGGTGAGTAACTCTTCAAAATAACTGAACTAAAATAAAATGCTTTTGTGAAAACAACTAACTAAGATCATGACTAAAAACCAAATTAACACAAATGATAAAATGTAAACCATAATATGCAGTATAAAGATCATACACAACAACAAAGACGAACATCCAAAAGCTAGACGACCCCATCACAACTTGAACAAAAGAATGGCTAAATGTTACCGACATGCCGTCCACAATCACGACTCAAAGGATTTAAAGTACGACTTGACTTCGCAGAAAAGGACTTCATTGAACCAGACCAAAGATCACCTCGATGTTCAAGTATACGTGCAGATCCGAGTTACAAGGCATCCCTTCCAAACACGAATTTCACGCCATTCCGAGACAAGGGCTGAACACAAAACAGTTCTCCACTAATACAGGAAAACCTGACATAGCAAACCATTTTGAAATCGGATTGATTTCATTGGGGATACAGTCGTTGTCGAATGACAGGACAACAAGTTCATATCCCTAATTCCAGCGTCCTGGAACGTTCTTCATCAAAGAGGAACCGGATAAGAAAATGATGTTCGCCTAATACCAACGTTCATTATCCATCCTTCAATTACAGAAGAAAAGATAAAACTCAAAAACTCTGTAAACCCCTGATGGGTGGAACCTGATCTAAACTACATTTTATTATTACATCTAAATTAGATATTTTACCACTGGAAAATATTTAATATTAACCAATCATAATCCATCTAACTAACAACCCACTTATTTGTAAGTGCTGAAATTAGTTACCTCTCCAAGAGAACTTCAGCAGCCGCAATAAAACCAGTATACTCTAGATCTATTGAGCCTAGCAGAGACTAGTTAAACACCCTGAGACTAGTAGATATAAGAGTAAGATTAGGATCGGTATTAGACTAAGAAGTTGCGCGAATCTATCAGGCCAAAAATAAGATAGCGTGACGAACAGACGGTGCACCCTATCCGAAATTACTCTATGAGTTATAGACCTAAGACTTAACTCAGGACGAAGATGCGTCAGAGATCGACCATGAGGATTTCCTGAGAGGAGCAAATGCAACATTCGGCTCGAGGTGACTTGAACAACGGTCTAAAAAGGATTAGAAACCCGGATCAGAAGTATGTTAGGAAACCAAATAATAGAATAATAACTGACGAAAACAAGGTACTAATTTCTTAGATAGAAAAGTAAAACTACGACCGGGACAGGCCGTGATGGCAATTTTTAGAATGAGGAATTTGAATTCGTTAAGTGATACTAAACAAGTTTGTTTGGTAACGAATCCAAATAGTCAAAGTTCAGTGAGTTTAGGCCGGAGCTTCTCGGTAACTCGAAATGGACTGTGTGTCAGTGTGTTATTGAACAAACTGGACACCACGGTTTCAATCCAGCGTGGAAAGAAAATTGGTTACGCTTCGCCGATGAGGACCGACTATGAAGAAACGCAAATTTTGAAGAGATATAGTGTAAAAGACTGTCCTTGTCATGACAATGAAGAAGAAATTTTAGAAAGGATTAATGACTTAAAGTCCATTCATGAACTGTTTTCAATGAAGTCCGAGTCCGTTTTTAATGAAGTCCGAAATAGAACACTTGAAAAAGAAAATAGGCGTGGGAGGTTTCGAATTATTGCGGGAGGTTTTAAATCGGAACGCGGATGTTTTTTCAAAACATAAGGCGGATATCGGTTGCTGTAACTTCGTCGAACACGAAATCGAACTTGAGGAAGGCGCCGTTCCCCACAGAGAAGGCACAAGACGAATGACGCCACATAAGTCGCAAGCGTACCGAGCAGAGATTGAAATGTTGCTCGAATACGACATGATAGAACTCTCGAAAACACCATGGTCATGCGGGGTGGTAATGGCAAAAAAGAAAGGGGCAGCTTAGGTTTTGTTGCGAATTTCGCTACTTGAACGCGGTGACGATAAAAGATGCGTACCCGATACCGCAAATAGACGAGAGCCTCTCTAAACTTGGTGATGCCAAGTTCTTCACCACACTGGACTTGGGTTCTGCCTTCTGGCAAGTCCCTCTGCGGAAGAAGGATAGAAAAAAGACCGGATTCGCGAGTGAATTGGGACTGTACTAGTGGAAGAGGATGCCCTTCGGCTTGTGCAACGCAGCGGCCACGTTTCAAAGACTGATGGCTCAGGCTTTGACCAGAGTGACAAATAAGTACGGGAATCTTGTGATGTGTTACGTGGATGACATGGTCATAGCAACACCAACCCTGGAAGACCACATTGATCGGCTCCAAGAGGTCTTTGGACACATGAAAAGAGCAGGCTTGAATTGCAAACCAATGAAATTAGAAATCCTTAGGGATTCAATCAAGTACCTAGTAAGAATGGTGGCCAGGCGTGGTGTGAGGCCGGACCCGGAAGCAGTAGAGGCTGTGTTGACATGGAAGGCTCCCAGAACGGACAAACATTTCATGAGCTTCCTGGGGTTCGCCAATTATTACTGTGAGTTCATAAAAGGATATGCAGACAAGGTGTATCCAATGTAGAGGCTGATGCGCAACAAAGGAAAGATGTTCGAATGGAACGAAGAAGCACAAGCTGCCTTCGAGAACACAAAGCGGGAACGGTGCGAAGCGCCAGTGCTAGGCAAACCTACAGAGAAGGGCATGTATGTTCTTGACACAGACGCATCGGTATTACCCATCTCAGGGATATTGCATCAGGAGCAGGAATGGAATGGAAGAACGGTTCTCCATCCCATTGTATATGGCACCAAGGTGTTGAGTGACACTGAGATGAAATATGGTGCACCAAAAGCAGAAATGTTTGCAGTAGTTACATTCGTGGAAAAGTACCGCGCATACTTGGGGAGTGCTCCCTTTAAGTTACGCGTGGACAACAGAGCGTTATCCTGGTTGAAGACCTACTCGATGGATCAGAGTTATATTGGTAGATGGATAGTAAGATTGGATGGCTAGCACATGATAATCGAGCACAGGATGCGTGACAAACACCAGAAAGCTGACAGCCTCAGTAAGACAACCGAGTTCTATGAAAGATTGAAACAGAAACAAGCCAATCAGGCAGAAATCAAGAAAGTGTTCTCGTTTCTGGACAAGGAAACTTAAGAAGCGCTTCCCTTGACGAGATGGTTGGACAAGTCTGGCCATCCAATTCCAGGACATCCTGAGTTACCTGTAGAGAAAGCAGTCGAGATAAAGATTCTATCCGGGAAGGATGGTGCCCTTGGATCTGTTGCTGCGCTCAAAGCTGGTCCAGCAGGAACTCTCTCGCATGAACATGAACAGCTTCTCATTATTGGATAAAACGGTGCAGGTCACACCACAAGTAATGCGGATGCTGGGTGGATTGTTAGAAAGAGAAGTGACCAGAGATGACCCCGAGTGGGCAGCAGCCATGGCATCACTGACAGTCAGTGAGATGGTGAAGATCATGCCGTCAATACGACAACACAAAGATAATGAGAGGGATTGTAGGACAATAGTTCAGCAACTAGTATCCTCGATACCCCGAGAAGTTTTAACAAGCACTTCAAACAAATGGCAAGAACAGGGGACGACATACAAAAGAAAACCGTTACCTTTGATGACCAGCAGAAGGCAGGTGAAGAAGTTGGTCGAATCCTGGAGCAATGCAATTTGTCCGGGGAGACGAACGGTTAGGAGAAAGGGCGAGTTCAGGATCAAAACCCGGGACAAGAAAGTTTGTCCGGAGAGTCGGACATAGAAGAGAAAGTTCCTGATAGGGAACAAGACCTGGAGGATAAATTTTTGTCCGTGGAGTCCAAGTAGATGAGCAGAACGCGCATAATTGACCCAGGAGAGGGTGCAGACTCCCCTACATACTCTTCAACAGATGATAATTCCCGGAACTCAGGAATTGACACCTACTCAGACAGGAACTCGAGTTCGGGATCGGAGCTTTTAGAATTAGCGATTTACACACTACTAGTGGAGACTCGAGCAAGTGAAAGAATAGATAGGTATACCAAGACCCTGACAGTGATCGCTACCTCATACCAAGCGAAAGTGTCTTTGACAAGGCAGCGGATGATCTGGAAACAATAGCGGTATCGAAACGTTCGATAAGTCTGTTGCCACAAAAAGAGGTAGTGAGGACTGATCTTCAGCCGTTCAAACAAGAAACACAGCCGCTGGCGAAGACTTGGTCCGTTAAGATGGAAGAAGACACAATAAGCCCGATGAGCTGAATAGTCAGATAAAGGTCATGAAGACGTTTTTGAAGGCGAGATACAGACTCTCGGACCTACTAAGAGCGCAGAGAAATGACCGCATGACAAGCAACCTGAAACGGTTGATAGAAAATGGTGTTCCGAACAAAGGTGACCTGGAGGAAGACAGTTACCGTATTCTGAGACAGTATTTTATGCAGAAAGAGGGAAGGTTAGATTTGAACAAGGACTGGATTGTAGCTTGCAGGAGAAGAGATGAAGACGTAATCCTTTACAAGTATAACGCGATAGTGTTGCCGCAACTCTATCAGACAGAACTCTTATTCAGGTCGCATGATCAGATGGGCCATCAGGGGATCGACAAAGTATGTCAGAGGATCCTGAAGCGCTTTGAGTGGCTTGGAATGAAAAAAGCATGTGAGAAGTGGATAACAGCGTGACTGTCATGCCAACAGGTCAAGGATCCAAGGAAATAGCAATTTCCTGTACAATCGATCGAGTCATCGGAATTCAACGAGGTGGTGCAGATAGATCACCAAAAGATATGCATGACAAACAGTGGTTATAACAAAATCTTGGTCATGATAGATCACTTCACGAAGTATGCAGAGGCCGTGCCCTGCATAACTGCCTCAGCGGAAGAAACGTGCGATCACCTGATCAATTCGTGGATAGCGAGACATGCTTGTCCGACAACTTTTCAAACGGATAATGGAGCAACTTTCGTAGGAGAACTCACGAAGAAGGTTATGAGACGCTCACAGGTTGATCAAGCTCACTCCACGACATACTATCCCCAGACGAATGGCTTAGTGGAAAGGCAGAACCGAACGTTGGTGTCGATGCTGAGGGTATATTGTTCCAGGTACATGACCGATTGGGACAGATACCCTCCACAGGTGATGGGAGCTTATAATAACACGCAACACTCCACCACCGGAGTTAGTCCACACATGATGCTAACCGAGCACGAGAAGTCTTTGCCCTTGACCTTTTTCTACTCAAAGTACGAGGGAAAGAAAACGTCTGCACAGGTCTACGTAAGGGATGTGATTAGACGTCAGCAAGAGTTGAACGACTTGTGTAGACGAAATACTCAGCAAGCACAGGCAGACATACCTGCAGCTTGGAAGAGGGTGATTATCTAATGATGGACCCTGCTTGTGAGGTCAACGAGAAGGGCACCAGGGAGAAGAACGATGGAAATGAAGTATTGAGGAAGGAAAAAGTCCACCACTGGACCTGGATCCATATGAGGTGATTGAAGCAGACGATGAAACCTTAACCTACGCAGAAGAGGACTGGCAAGACCCCGAACAAATGGAGTTCCCCAAGACTTTGGAACCAGATCGTCCGTTCACGATGCAGACTCGACGGAAGGACAGGACATGATCCAAGAGGAAATATAATCCTTACGGCGGCGTTTTTGTAGTGGACAGGATAGATCTAAAAAAGATAGTGGAAGAAGTGATGGAACTAGAAGGATTAACCGTTTCGCAAGACATCGACAAAATTGATGACCATGATGAGGAATGGATCGAGGACCGGTCGAAACCTGAGGCAGAATTCGATGACGAGCTACAGTAATCCAACGAACATGATTTGACGAATCTGCGTGTCTTGGAGTGGCTGAACGAAATGATGTCGGACCCCAAGGAGACCAGTGTAACGATTCAAGATGTAGATCGTGAAAGCATGAAATAAACAAAAACCGAACAAGAGGATCCTTCCTGGGCTGCCCAGGAAGGGCGACTACTCATTCCGGCTTCCAACCTCGACTTGACATCCGGTATGCGATCGACGGGGACGTCGATGGATATTTTTGTCAGGTGAGTTTTGTAGGACTTACCCATGCTGAAAATTTATTAATAAAAAAATTGAGAATAGCAAGAGAGACAGGAGATTTAGAAGCAGAAACAGGCGAAGACCCAAAGAAACCGGACATAGGGAGGGTAGTGGACTCATATTTTAACTTAATAAACAATCAAGTAGCATAATACTAACAGATAGCGATTTCACACTTACAAGTAGAACCTGTGCGATAGCAATCACAACAGACATAAGTTTTAGGTTAGCGTTAGCAGCAGACTTTAAGAGAGAATATAAAAACATAGAATTCTTTTGGAAGCAAAGACCAGGAATAGGGGGCGTAGCACCCTTGCCTCCGGCGGCGTCACAGTTACCGTGAAAATACTATACTTCTTGGCGACGAGGGCAACGGAGAAGCGGCACATAGGATCGGAAAACCTAGTCATGGCCATGACGAGATTGAGGACTTCCTTGTGGAAAGAGAAGTGAAGGAGTTTTCGCTTCCAGTATACGATCCGAAGAGAGGACAACTGCATCCACGGGAACTGTACGCGCTGATTTTAATAAAGTTCAGGATCAAAAGCTTTTTACCTAAATGTTTTAAATAAATTTTAACCCGAAAATAGTGTAAGGCTGACAAGTGTGATATTCGTGACCTCTTTTCTAGATCTTGATTGATCATTTAATTTTTCACTTGAGTTCAAATCGTTGAATCAATAATCGAATCAAACCTGAAAGATAATAGATATTTTCAACTTGGATGAATTGGTAGACCTGGCAGAGGCAAACGTATGACCGACGGTAGATGCGATCTATCGTCGGCTAATGGAACGAAACTTCGCTCTAGAGGACCCAGAGGTAGTCATGTTGCTGACCGCCTTGATAAACATCTTGGGGCATGACAACCGTGGGGACCGTCCTATTGATGGCAGCATACGGAGAAAGAGGAGTACTAGACCGCGCAAAAATGAAAGTGATGAGGTGGAGAAACGGAGCTCTCTCAGGGAGTGAATTGGCGAACATGCCTGGATTGGGAAGTTCGAGGACCTACCAACCAGGTGAGATGCCCTTGCCCACCAAGCCCAAGCCTGGACTAAGAAGAGTGCATCAGGAAATGAACAGAGAGGCTGCTTCGTCTAGTTCACCACTGAGAGTAGTGAACTAGAAGAGGAGGTTCAAACGAACGAAACCATGCAAGATCTAGATGGGAGGAAAGGCGAGCTGGAGAGGACCAGAAAGGAACTGGACGAAATGAATAAGACCATGCTCAGTACGGAGGAGGATAGAGACATGTGGAAGAGACTGTTTGAAGACTGCAACAAGAAGCAGGGTGAAGAAATAGAGCGCTTGAGGCGGGACTACAAAGAGCGATCGGAGCGGCTGGCGTTGAACACATCCGTGGAGAAAGTGATACCTGCAAGGAGTATCCCTCGTGGGCAGTCCCCGATGGAGCTCTTGACACCTCGAGAAATGAGTCAGACGACAGAAACGCGACTCCCGGCTACAACTGGTCGAGTGACGATCCCGGACCCGAGTGATACCTTAGGTGACCCAGTCGTGGAGCAAACGGTGAGGATGCTGATAGAGACAGCTGGACGACTTGTCGCCAACAGGAATGCGCCAGGTTCCGGGGTGACTGCTTCCTATGGAACGATCGACGACACGGGCAGAGTACAACTCTCCCAAGACGTGATGACAAAAGAGGGAGTTAGCAATGCAACATAACAAACGAGGAGCTCTAGGGTCCCAGACAGGAAAATACGAGGGATGCCGGCGGAGAAAGTGTCTCGAGTGATTGACATCTGATACTGGGAGACAGGTTGGTCAGAGTGCTTCAAAAATTGAGGACCTCCTGGATCACTACGGTGATGGCTTTCGGAGGTGCGACGATAGCCCAGTTGTTTTGTATGGTGGAGCTGATGAACCCAGGGAGAATTCCTAATAAAATGATCCTAGAAAGGGACAAATAACATCTCGAGAAGCTCAGATGGTGAAGAGGCACTATGGGAATCAATTATGGTGTGCTTATTTACTACTCTCTGGCAGAAGTTCAACTGCGCGGAACTGACCGTCTGCACTGTACCAATGAGCACGAGGACATTGACTGCAACAGGGAAAAGACACAATGAAGGAGTAATCAGGTGGAACAACATCCTAAGGAATCTTGCATGTCGGAATGCTGGGAGGATGATCCTAATGGATATCGAGCACGAGCTGAGGGCTATGGATCAGGCCAGACTCACTACTGATGGCATCCACTTTGATAGCATCGAGGGACAGGCCTGGTTGAACAAGAGTCTTCCAAGAGCGATTAGATGAATTGGAAGTAGAACTCTTTGACACGGGAGTGCAGAAGAAGGAGGAAGCATCAATTGATCCGGCAATTTCAACCTTTGTGCCTCCTAACCTGGAAACACGTTTTGAAACGGTCCTGACCGTGACGAATTATAGGCGGCAGAGCTCTAGCGAGCCATGTCAAAGAACAAACGTACAAGATCGATTGGGGGAAGCGCCCACGAGGAGAACCATCAATCCTAGACAAAGATTGGGGCCTGTCAACCAGACAGCGGAGACGACCAGCACCTTCAGATCGGATACGAGATCGGAGACGACGAGTACCAGTCGAGGGGAACGACATCCAGATAGGAGCTCTTTGATGTGGTCGAGGCCCATACCTTCTCCCTGGCACATATACAAGGATGATCTGATGAAACTGAACCTTCAGACAGTGATCTTTGCAGCAGATGCCATGAGGATGTTGAACGGAGAGAGGTTATATGTCAGCGGACTGTACTCGATAACAGGAAAGGACTGGTTAATAGCTGCTGGCATAACCTTCAGCTCTACAACTGCATTGATGTTTGTCGAAACAGAGGGACTGCCCTCGAACAATACAATGGGTCCAGTGAAAGCAAGACCGTTACAAGACGTGAGACTGAATCACGATGAAGGGAATCCAGAAAAAAGACCTGGAAGATTCCTGACGACGAGGGCACCAATAAGACAACATGTAAAGATGTTCAGGCAGGTGATAGCACCCCCAGGCCATGTGAAAGAAAGAGCGTACCCGAAGCAATGAAGGAGTAATCAGGTGGAACAACATCCTAAGGAATCTTGCATGTCGGAATGCTGGGAGGATGATCCTAATGATATCGAGCACGAGCTGAGGGCTATGGATCAGGCCAGACTCACTACTGATGGCATCCACTTTGATAGCATCGAGGGACAGGCCTGGTTGAACAAGAGTCTTCCAAGAGCGATTAGATGAATTGGAAGTAGAACTCCTTGACACGGGAGTGCTGAAGAAGGAGGAAGCACCAATTGATCCGGCAATTTCAACATTTGTGCCTCCTAACCTGGAAACACGTTTGGAAACGGTCCTGACCGTGACGAATTATAGGCGGCAGAGCTCTAGCGAGCCATGTCAAAGAACAGACGTACAAGATCGATTGGGGGAAGCGCCCACGAGGAGAACCATCAATCCTAGACAAAGATTGGGGCCTGTCAACCAGACAGCGGAGACGACCAGCACCTTCAGATCGGATACGAGATCGGAGACGACGAGTACCAGTCGAGGGGAACGACACCCAGATAGGAGCTCTTTGATGTGGTCGAGGCCCATACCTTCTCCCTGGCACATATACAAGGATGATCTGATGAAACTGAACCTTCAGACAGTGAGCTTTGCAGCAGATGCCATGAGGATGCTGAACGGAGAGAGGTTATATGTCAGCGGACTGTACTCGATAACAGGAAAGGACTGGTTAATAGCTGCTGGCATAACCTTCAGCTCTACAACTGCCTTGAGGTTTGTCGAAACAGAGGGACTGACCTCGAACAATACAATGGGTCCAGTGAATGCAAGACCGTTACAAGACGTGAGACTGAATCACGATGAACGGAATCCAGAAGAAAGACCTGAAAGATTCCTGACGACGAGGGCACCAATAAGACAACATGTAAAGATGTTCAGGCAGGTGATAGCACCCCCAGGCCATGTGAAAGAAAGAGCGTACCCGAAGCAAGTGAATCAAGAATGTGATGTTCAGAGATACGTTGGGTTGAATGCGATGAAGAAAGACGAAACCATCTTTGCTGCATACGACAAGGCAGAAATGAGGAAGGCTAAGATTATGATAGTCGCGAGCTCAGACTTCGTTTATACATCCAAGTTTCTGTTTTGGCCTGATGTGATAATGCTGGTAGCGGTCGACCTAGACCTAATGCAATCCGTGTCAATGGCAATTGGGTTACAAAGACAGACAGACATGCACCCGATCAAAATCGTGTTCGCTGGCATCAATGACCATCTACAATGCAAGGGTTTCCTGAGCAGACTCAGAGAACCTACGACGGCCGAAAGCGCTGTATGACCAGCGATAAAAGATATCCTAGAGTCAATGGGTGAAGTACTGGATACCCTGAAAGAGGGTGCCTTCACTAATATAACAC